ACCCGAAACGTTAACTCTGTTTTCTCCTTCACAGATGCTGCCAGACCTGCTGAGCTTTTCCAGCAACTTTGTTTTTGTTCCTGATTTACAGCATTCGCAGTTTTTTTGGTTTTTATTGGGTGAAATTAAATTTGACAGAGCTATAAGGTGGTCATGACTGGCCTCCCAATACCCACCTCATTACATTTTCCCTTACTTCTCTCAACTTCTTGGATAATGTAAGAGCAATTTATGATATCCTTCAGAAGACATATCACTTGCTGCTAATATGCAATGGTGAAAAAAGGCAGTAAAAATTTAAGGACATCAGGAAATCCAACACGGAAAATGCTGGAGAAACTCCAGCAGGTCTGGCATCATCAGTGGAGAAAAAGCAGAGTTAACGTTTCAAGTTCTTCAGAACACAGGACTCAAACCATTAATTCTGTTTATCTCTCCACAGAGAATGGCGCACCTGCTGAGTTTCTCCAGCACTTTCTATTTTTGTTTCAGATCTCCAGCATCTGCAGGGAATCTACTTATCTCAGATGTTTGCTTTTATCAAACACACTTGTTCAACGCACTCTAATCATCAATTTGGTACATACCCCAATCTTCTGCATTGATTTCATAGGCTCTTTCTTTACAAGTTTCAGGTAAAACGCAGAAGGCAGAATGAAAATTAACATAGAAGCAGCAGAGGAACCTGGAAAAAATGGAGAACAAATTTAGAGTGGATGAACCAAGACTGTTCAATTAAACAGTAAGTGCAAATGAATGGTAGTAAAAGACATTTAGTTTTATTTGTGCACATACCTATGAACCCAAAGATATCCCGAATGGTAGGAACAGAGATCACCAGGCAATTAATGGAACCCAGAATTATAAAGGTGATTATAGTGTGACGTATCCAACTAAATTCTTTGCTTGAAAATAGCAGCTGCTGAACAGAGGTACGAATCTGTGGGAAAAGGTTACCATTATTTCAATATTCTTGCATCCCACAAAATGTTTAACAAAACACCCAAAAGTGAAAATGCTTGATTTTATGTCAGTCAACAAATGATAAGTAAATAATGTCAAAACAAGCTTTCAAAACCAGTGCTACACTATTGCTAAAAATCAGTCATATATTTAAGTGACTTCTTTAATGTGATTAAGAAAACTAGTTTGGGAATATCAAATGTGTTGGTGTTGACTTCATAATACATTGTGCAAAGTCTAATAGTAAATCTGTAGCTTCATTCAAGCTGCAAGAATAACTGGTACCAAAATCCACATTGATGCAGCAAGTGTTTCTGTACTTAGGTTGTGTTTGGGAGATATGAATAGGGCAGGAAAGTTCAAAATATTGTTTAACCTTTATTCAATTTGTGATGTAATGTTTCACCAAAATAAAATACAAGGTTAATGAACAAACTACCATCCTGAAGCAGAATGTAATATCCCATGAAACTTTGTTATAGCAATGGGATCTTACATGAAAGGAGCGAGAGGAAAACTGAACAGTTTGTGATGATGTTAGTCAAATACATGCTGACATCAATTGCATCAGTTACAATAGCAGTATATTTGAACTGCATCTTGCTCTGTTTGAATTTCAGTCTTGTCTGCTTAACTTTAAAGGCACCAGAGAAGCAGAAGCAAAATGATTTTTAAAATATATAAATATTTATGACATGAACTTGAATCAGGAGTCAACAGCAGACTTATTCTGATGGCAGACATAAGTGAAAGCACTAGACCATACTCAAAGATTTATTTGCACTGAATGTACTTACTGGAAATAGAACAACTGGTACTGTCAGAATGACAGCTACGAGCACAGCCAGTCGAACAATAAGGAGGACAACATCAAATCGGTATACTTTTGAATAAGTATGAAGCAATTCTGGCTCAACATTTTCTGCAAAAACACAAACATATTAGTTTTTGTTTTGTCTGATTTACTTTGCTTGGAAATATGCAATGAACAATAAAATGCCTCATGGCAAATTCAGAAACTTTTTAAAATTTTGCTGTGTGTCTGTCTCCTTTAATTAGTAGCAATAAAAACTAGACTCTAACTCTGGCTATAACAATTTGTCAAATCATTTCTTGTTATGACATATTTGATCTTTCACAGCAAATAGCCATGTTATCACAACCATATGAACAATTACTGTCAAGATTAGAAATTAGAAAACTATACACAATAATTCATAGCACTCAAGCTAGAACTGCCTGCAAATTTATTTTTTATAATCTATTTTACTGATTCCACAGCTCGCTAGCATTATCAGGGCCACCACTTTGGACTAAAGTCTACAACAAACAGACTTCCTAATCATGCATTTAGTGCAGTAAACAGTATCTCATTTTACTAGTAAAAGAGGTAACCACTCAAAATCCATCAAAAAGCAACTGAGGAATCCAACAGAAAAATTTACATTAATTTTGGCCTAAGCAAAACTTAGTATGTAGTTTTAAATTGTATAAAATGTTAGCATGCACTGCCTGAAGCTCTGAAAAAAAAGGTTATTATTGAAATTTGTATGTCGAAGTAAAGGATAAAAAGGTAAAGATTTTTAAGTAGAACTTACCATTGAAGGTCAAGTAACCAAAGAGAGCAGCCATCAGGTACATAACAAATATAAACAGAAATGAAACATTGGAAACCCTCTGCATTTTCTTGCGGGACCGGCTAGAAGAGAAAAAGAATTTGATTTTGATTTCTTCGTTCACCAGAATGATGCATTAACCCTTAGCAGAGTGTAAATTTACTTTATCAGAAAGCTGCATTTAAAGGATTCACTGAAGTTAATTTTTAAAAACTTATAAGTAAATGACATGCACTTCAAGCTACTACTTCAAAGTGTGACACTGAATATCTTATCTTGGAAAGCACAAAGTGTTATATTTTCAGCAAATCTCATGCTGAGAGTTAAGGATGTTAAGAACAGAAAGATATTTCACTCTGGGAACCCAGTGTTAGAATTAAACATTGCAGCATTTGGTGTAACATGTGCCAAATACAGAGAAAAGTTTTTCTAATCTGTCCCTTGATGTGTTTCAATGTCAACTGCTGAACAGTCACTATTGTGAATTTTCAATTCAATACATATACAAGACTCTCTTTAAGTGACTGTCCATTTCTCCAAACCTATGGGAAAATTTAATTTAATATATGCAGCCCAGGAACTGGATCAGACTAATTGGATCTGAGCATCTATTCTTAACAGACTGACTGGAACCCAAACTTATTTAATGCAGGGCACTTCCAATGAACCCAGAAAAGGTGACTATAATCCTGGACTGAACATGAATCCAATAAAAGAACAGTCCTTACTCTTTCAGTTCTTCATAGATGGGAAGAACAGCGGGATGGCAGACAAATGCAAATGTCAGAATTGGTACAGCATAGACAGTCTGAAAGACAAAAGGAGAACAATTGGGTCAGTCACACATCAACAAAAATAGAAAATACTCAATGTATTTTTTTATGAATAGATTTAAGGGCTGCTTTGCTATGTTTATTAACAGTAAAATAACTGCATTATAACATTTTATATACAAAAATAGAAATTGCTGGAAAAAGGTCAGCAGATCTGGCAGTATCTATGGAAAGAAATCAGAATTAACGTTTCATGTCCAGTGACCCTTCTTCAGAACTGATAGTAGCTGGGCAAAGATTGCTTTTTTTATAAAGGCATAGGGTGGGGGGAGGGGTTAAAGAGTAAGTGATAGGTGGACATACAGCCCAAAGAGAAAAGGACAGTTGGTCAGACAAAGGAGTGGATAATGGTCAGCCATGGAGAAGGAATAGCTGCTAATGGGGACTATTAGTGGCCAACAATGGGTTGTGTGTAATAGCAGACCATGTGTCAACAAGGCCTGGTATGTGGGGTATGGGGTAAGGACATGGGAGAAGGTACCTCAAGCCCTAAAATTGTTGAACTCAATGCTGAGTCCAGAAGACTGTTAAGTTCCCAAGTGGAAAATGAGGCGCTGGTTCTTCCAGCTTGCGCTGAGCTGTGTTTGGGCATTGCAGCAAGCCTGAGATAGAGATGTTGGCCAGGGAACATGGTGCTGTGTTGAATTGGCAGGCAACTGGAAGCTCAGGGTCATTTTTGTGCAAAAAAAGGGTCAAAACGTTAACTTTGATTACTCTCCACAAATGCTGCCTGACCTGCTCACTTTTTCTAGCAATTTTTGTTTTTATTTCTGATTTCTGGCATCTGCAGTTCTTTTGGGTTGTTTTTAATGAAATTTTATGACAGCATCACAAATACATACAAATATCTTGAGTTATAAATTGGTACACTCCAACATTTCAATCCATTAAGTCAGTGTGAAATGACATATTTTAAAATTTACTCCTATTTACCTGTGAATTGAAGATAAAATACTTTGGTTTGCAGGTGCCCTCATCTGTTGCATTGTGTGTTAAAGCAGCATCAGATCCACTTGTAACTGTTTTATATGCAGCTGTTGCTGTCATCATTAAGGTAGCATTCAAGGTTGCATTCTCGAGACCTTGCTCCAGATCAGGCAATGGACAAGGGATATGAGTGCTTTTGTGAATCACCTGCAAGTTTTTGTAAAGTGAAATTTGGGGTTAAAATATACAAATGAGTGGCTACACTACAGCATGTGATCAACAGAAAAGATATTTACTGCTGGTAAAAAAAAACACATTTCCTTCCTTAAAAGCTGTTTTAATTCCCCTGTCTCCCTAGGGTCAGTGAGTGCATAGCTAACATAATGTGATGCAAATCAGGAAGGTTTGGGTTCAATGCATGCTCTGCATTTAAATGAATTTCAGGGGCAAAAAACAGCAGTATGCCATCATTTCTGACCTCGATAGCTTTTAGTGGGGGAGGTCATAACATCAGCCACAGTTCCTGTCCTTGAATGCAACCAGAAATCCCAGCCCAAAGTGTGCAAGGTAGATATTTTATGAGAACACAAAACGTAATGGTTGCTATATCTAACATCTCTGACTCTCATGATCCAGGTTCATGGATGAAGAGTAGCCATTTATCTAAGAGACTAGATGTTAACACCCACATGGCCCAATGTTAATGCATCAGGCTAGAACTAAGGTAGGAAGACAAACTGAATACATTAATATCTGAAGTCCACATAATAGTTCGAGAAATTAGGCAGAATAGAATGTTCACATCTCCAATGGTCTCCCTTAATCTCTTATTATTGGGTGAGATTCCCCATGTATAAAAGCACTACATTTGAAAGGGTTCAGAAAAGATTTACAAAGATGTTGCCAGGGCTGAAGGGTTTGAGCTATAGTGAAAGGCTGGGGCTAATTTCCCTGGAGTGTAGGAGGCTGAGGGTTGACCTTATAGAGGTTTGTAAAATCAGGAGGGGCATGGATAGGGTGAATAGCCAAAGTTCTATTTCCCAGGGTAGAGGAATCTAAAACTAGAGGGCATGGTTTTAAGGTGAGGGTAAAATATGAAAGGCAACTGACGGGCAACTTTTTCACATAGAGGGCGGTGCATGAATGGAATGAGCTGCCAGCAGAAGTGGTATAGGTGGGTACAATTACAATATTTAAAAGCCAACTGGATGGGTATATGAGCAAGAAATGTATACAGGGACATGGGCCAAATGCAAGCAGATGGGACTGGATTAATTTAAGATATCTGGTCAGCATGGATGAGTTGGAAAGAAGGGTTTGTTTCTGTGACCCTAACATGAGGCTTTTGGAAGGTGAGATACCTGTTTCACTATTTGTCTCTGCTGCATCGCAGATAAGGAAACCCCAGGAATGCCACATTTGTGAACATCATGATGGGACTCAGCTTTGATTCCCTCAACACAGTATTAGTCTATGATCACCAACTTGGAGATAAAAGTCAGCTTGAACATGACATAAAAGGGGCCAGCCAGGATGAAGAGGAATCAGTGTACATGGAGAAATTAGGAGTTAAAATCTTATTTCTGCTACACTGCAAACAAAGTAAATGCTATCCAACTTATGGTTGAAGGAAGATTCAAAATCCATAAACCCTCTGCAAAACTGACTCTGGCTTTCAATATTTTGCTCAGTTTGTGTTGCCTTTTCTAACAATATTAAGCCAATTTCATACTTACAACGATTAGAAAGAACAACATGCAAAGAAGAGACAGTCCACTGGTATAGCCCAGATAACCTGTAAAAGAAGAGAAAGATTATTATGTTTCAAAGTCAATAATAAGTTTATGAACAGAAAAACAAGGAACAGAAGTAACCTATTCAGGCACACGAGCCTGTTCTCAGTTATTCTCTAATTAATGATTTAATAATTGTGCACAGTAAATATAGCAAAATTGGGAATATATTATTTATACAATTTTGCAAGAAATTTACAAATAAATTTTACAATTTTCTTTTCGCAGTAAAGTTGCAATTCCCTGAGTGATGAACAGATGAAAGTATGCCAGTAGAAGCTGACTGATTCTTAATATCATTGCTGGACTTAGAATGTGCAATTACGTTCATGTAACATTTGGTATGCACACAGCAACTACCTTTTGTCAGGTTCAAAATGGAACAACCGACAGGATAGGTCTAGGACCAGGTGAATATGATGTGAAGCAAAAACAGAAATTGTTGGAAAAGCTCAGCAGGTTTGGCAGCATCTATGAAGAGAAATCAGAGTTAATGTTTCAGGTCCAGTGTTCCGAGGAAGGGTCACCGGACCCGAAACGTTAACTCTGTTTTTTCCTTCACAGATGCTGCCAGACCTGCTGAGCTTTTCCAGCAACTTTGTTTTTGTTACAGTTTTAATAATGTTACTCATTATTTTGTGCACAACTTAGCACATAGAATTAAGTGAAAACATGTGAATTAAAGTATGCCAAACAAAAACTTAAGATGACGACTTTGGAAATTCCTAAATAATTTATGTAAAAAAATCAGACAGCTAAATATAGATAAGGTAATGATTATCTTAAATCAGGGCTTTTCTGCTATTATATTAATTAGAATTCCAGTGCAAATACTTACCAAGGTTCTTCAGAAGAGACAATGGAAGAATTATGATCAAAGACACCATAAGGACCAAGTAGTTACCATTCAGATACCAGTGTCTGAAAAAGAAAACAAACAAATTGCTATAAGTACTATTATGAATACAATCACCAAAATTTTATTTAACAAATTTTAACTGTGTTCATCCATACTAAAAGCATATCTTGCATGATTTCAATAAATCCAGAATTTTTTAAAAAACTGATTGAAAGTCCATTATGTAATTTAAATTTCAATATTATTGCCACGCAGCTTTATTTAGTCTTCTCTATCCTTCAAGGGAAAATATCACAAGACACTGAAGTGGAACTGGTTACAACTGGTTAGGGCTTATTCAAAAACAAAAACATGAAAATGGAAGCAGATAATACCGGTCCAAAACATTCATTCGCCACATGCCACCTGAGGCCAAGTGGAACTAAAAACAGTTTGTAACCATTCCCAATCTGGCTGAAAGACACTGCTCCATTTTTCTTAAATAGGAAGATAAATAGCTGAAGTTTACAAATCTTATTTGCCTCAATAGTGATATTTTAAGTTGCGATTGAAATGTATTTAACTATTTATGAAAATGTAATCAGAAATTTGTGATATTTGTTTAAAAGTAAACCCTGAGATACATCTGAATTGACACAAGTTGTTTTACAAGGCACCTTATGGATTTCGAGTGCCATGGCTTCCCTGGGCTAGGTCATTAATTGTTTCACAAATTAGAGTGTCCCACTTTTCATTTTGCTGCCAATCGTTTTTCAACTGGCATAGTGGCTCATCATTGTTAAAGAGGCTCTCTTTCATGAAGAAAGGGGAAACTGTAATTACAAGTGGCAATGCCATGTTATTATTCCTAATACCATTCTTATGGCTTGAAATAAACAGAATGACAACTGACATTTTGATCTTTAGCATACGCTAGGGAGTCATAGATTAGTCACCAATTTATTTAACCTGCAACTCTATACGTATTCATGTGAACATGTTTCTAGAGGATTTACGTCAACTGATTTGTCACTGTGGCATGATACATCAGTTGACTCAAAAGTGAATCAAATATTTATTTGTAGAATTCATTTAAGTAAAAGCCAATACTGTGAAATGAAAATATTTTGTTACATGGTGAACAAAATGCAAAAGTAATTCTTCTATTTGCTAAAACGTCACTATGCCAACCTTTACTGTCAAAACACTCATATTTTAAGAAAGTATTTACACCATTTAGCCTAAAGTTAAACATAAGCCAATTTTCTAATATTACATTATTGCTTTTAAAGTAATTAGGTGATACCAAATAAAAGTGTTGGAAATTTCAGGAAGGCAACTCCATAATGGGATTTCCCAATCATTGATTTACTTTTCCATTATATGGTTACACATTCCATTAATCATTTGCAAGCTTCAAATTATTGTATGTTTGTAAAATGATTTATATTATACATTTCCATTGCAAAATCACTTCCATTTGGCAAAACAATGGGCCAATTTTTCAGTTACTAGTTTACTGACTGCACAGCTATTCATTACACCTGCAATTGCTCATTGACGTTTATTTTGCATTGATACTTGAGATTGAGTTTGGCATAGCACCCTCTCTATTGCATCTGTTTCTATGTTGAAATAAAGACTGTGTATCTCCTTAAACAGGTCAAAATATTGTTGCTGAGGCCTGCATAGGTTGAAACAGATGGTGCTGGTTGGTACATTTACGTCAACAGCAAAACATGTAGAGTGAGTGTTTATTTGAGGAATAAAGGAGGAATTTGTTAGTGATTCAACTGTACTCTTACATCAATATACACACAAAAAAAACTTAAGTATAAAAGATGTATCAAGATACTCAGAGATAGTAGGAACTGCAGATGCTGGAGAATCTGAGACAACAAGGTGCAGAACTGGATGAACACAGCAGGCTAAACAGCATCATAGGAGCAGAAAGGCTGACGTTTCGGGCCTGGACCCTTCATCAGAAAATG